ATCCGGGTTTCAATACCCGTGGTGGGCAGAGCACAGATAGCCCATTGTGTAGCTTTGTGCTTAATTACAAACAAACTTAATCAGGGCGCAGAGACACATTAGATACGTTAAACTGGAAACTCTAGTTATATAATATTTAAATAAATCAATTATTTTGGTAATGTAGCCCGTAGTCATGGCTATATTACAGAACAAAATCAATGTGACTGTTGATTGGATGGCAGAGATTTTTTTATTTTTAATTTTACACATTTGTGAACTTAATTAGTTTATGTTGTGGAAGAATCAGTCAGAAAATGGAAATTTCGAAATTTTTCCTTGCCCCACTGAATTCTTGGAAACAAAAATTGGATGAGCCTAGCCTTATTTGTGACGTTGTTTCTACTCATTTCGAAAACTTCGGTTTGTAGCTCAATCCCAATAATCAATGGGAGAACACAACTCGATCAGCAAACGTCATTGGCAGAATTCAAGTCCAAACCTCCTGGATGCTGGTTCACAAAGAATACCGCGACCTATCCAGAAAAAGAGATGGCCGTGCTTTTGTTTTTCACACCAACATACCTGTGCAAATCAGCGTTTTCTGGTCTGACAACAACAACCAAAAACAAAACAGGGATCTCGTCTGTCGGTAGGGGGCGGGAGGATCTCTGAGTTGCTATTTAACAGTTAAGCCAAGAATGGACCTCATTCCAAGCTCGATCCCATCCTTCACATTCAATTGGTGAGAAAACTGAATATTTTAAAACTGTTATACATATGGGGTGCGATAGATGTCGCAACAGAACGCATCTTTAGAAAGAAAAAAAGTTTATGTACCATCTCTCCAGTCTATCATTTCAAACCTAGGGACGGATATCCCTTTGCGTATCCCTACATAAAAATTCTGGAAAAAAATCATAATGGTAAAGATATAACGTACTAATAATATCTGCTAATATGTACCAGTGAAAATGTTATATTTATCTAAAGTATGTGAAATTATTTTCATTACAAATATTAAATTATATTTGTTACTAACGGCTACAATTAACTAGAGTACACTCCTTGAATTCCTAAAAACTGAAAGTTTCTGATGTGGGAACGACGGATTTCTTTGGCACTTGGTAAAACGTGGATGTATAAAAATTCCGCGAAATCACTTTCTACCTAGCTCTACTTACCACCACTACTTTGGCCGCTACCTCTTCCTACAAAGTCACCCTGACCATCACACGACGGATTTCTTTGGCACTTGGTAAAACATGGATGTATAAGAATTACGCGAAATATCTTTCTACCTAGCTTTGGCCGATACCTCTTCCTACAAAGTCACCCTGACCATCACACGACGGATTTCTTTGGCACTTGGTAAAACGTGGATGTATAAAAATTCCGCGAAATAACTTTCTACCTAGCTCTACTTAACACCACTACTTTGGCCGCTACCTCTTCCTACAAAGTCACCCTGACCATCACACGGTGTATACCATGTTTTTAAGTATATACATATTGAGTTCTTAAAGCTTATACAAGACCTTTGGTGAGGTAATAATAAATACTGTAATAATATGTTATGTTATAAATAGATTGTGTGAAAGTTAGGAATTTCATGTTATTTATAAGTTCATAACCCGGACAGTGAACGTGTACCCAGCTTGTAGAAAATAAAACAGAAATAGTGGTGTTTCCAACTTCGCATTTCATTCCCACAAAGTACTTCGTGTAAATTTTGTGGCGTTTTTTGCGGATGTCCAGTAACAAACCACAGGTACAGGTTGTTTTCAATTGTTAATCAAGATTTCTGTTATGTGAAAGTCGCGTGTCAGATAGTAATATTTTATACTAAGATTCAACTGTTTTAGCCCTGTAGTTCGTCACGAAAATGTAACCAACTCAGGTGCGTAAGTTTATATTTGTGTTTTGTTGAACCTATTTTAGTATTTCTTCAAATATCGAAGTAAATTGTTTTTCCAATGAGCCGTTACACTAACCTGAATAGGGCATGTGTAGGTCAGCCCTAGTACTAGAGTTACAGCTACGTATATTCTCGTTCAGTTTCTAAAGATTTCCGAGACTTCAGTTGTTAAAACGTATTATTTGGAATTATTATGATGTATAAACAACTAGATGAAAAAACACACAACACAAAGTCTACAGTTGAGCATGTTTGTTTCGGTAAGTGCGCAGAATCCAGTTGCCTTACGGGAAATTTCGGAACTTGTCAAGGCCTCGCGACTACACAGGAAGAACCCGAACCTTGTCTTAATCTGGACGGCATTGGCTTTATGTTAACGAGGGTCAAAGAAATGCTCGTAATTAACCTTAAATTTGCGTGTTCTTTCACTCGTTTTAACAATCTTCTTTCAGTGGACCCAATATAACGACGCTGTCAGCAAGGACAGGTAAATTTAGAAACAACATTTGATGATGATAACGAAGGAATACGGTCCTTAAACCAAACCAATTTTGTAAGCAACAGTTAGTTTTAAAAATACAGCTCAACTGTACCTAAGGGTATATTTCTTAACTGTTTTTTTTTAAATTCAAAGAATATTTACCAATATTAGGGCAGACTCATAACTAAAGTAAGGGGTATTTATATATATATATAGGCGCGAATGTCTCTCTCTCTCTCTGTGGATCTATTCCTTATGTACAGCCACATAGTTTCAATAAGAATATTAAATTATGTGTGGAAAATTTCGTAAAAAGTATTTTGTATGATGTACCTCACGTGGAGGTGATCATCTTTGTTGGGAATCAACGTGTGCAAAAATTAGAGTTTATTTGTTGAATTCTATACTGTTGTTAATCAACGTGTCCAGACAGTGTTGTCATCTATAAATGTAGGGCAGTACAGCAGTTTAAAAGGTTGCAGACAGTCTTGTCATCTATAAACGTAGGGTAGCACAGCAGTTTAAAAGGTTGTAAACAGTCTTGTCATCTATAAACGTAGGGTAGTACAGCAGTTTAAAAGGTTGTAAACAGTCTTGTCATCTATAAACGTAGGGTAGCACAGCAGTTTAAAAGGTTATAAATAGTCTTGTCATCTACAAACATAGGGTAGTACAGCAGTTTAAAAGGTTGTAAACAGTCTTGTCATCTACAACATAGGGTAGTACAGCAGTTTAAAGGGTTAT